CCCCGCGACTCCCCCACCCCCGCCTCCAGCCCTTTTCTGCCCCCACCTCCTGCACGTGCTCCTTGGCCCGCAGGTCAGAAGGGTGCATGAGCGAGCCCATGACCTTGACATTGCCGTGCACAACCAGCGCCTCGTCCGGCCGGTCTGTGTTGATGCCCACCCGGCCGTGGTGGAAGACGGTGTCGGGCACCTGCGCCCGCTGCCACAGCACGTCGCTGTCGCTCTCAAACTGGCCCGGATTGGAGGCCTGCCGCAAGTTTGGGTTGGATCAATCCTGGGGTATGGGTGCTCTGCAGGGCCGTAGGAAGAAGGGAAACCCCAGAGCCACCCCTCCTGGTCCAGCCAGGGCTTCTCACCCAACCAGGCCTAACTTAAACTATCCCGCCCATTGTGACAACTTTTAGTCACTTGTGGGATCCCAGAAAGCTACCAGGTCTTGTCCATCTCCATGCTCTACTGTGGAGACACTGCACCCCAGAGAGGGTGGGAGCCACACAGCCATTGCCACACAAGGCTACACAGCCGGTGCCCAGCAAGACCAGCGCTCTGGCTCCTGACTCCCCAGTATCCTGGTATTTCTCCTGAGTGCTGTTTCTCCCTCTGGGGAGAAACACTCTCTACCCCCCCGGGGGAGGTGGACCTCACCCGCACAATGATGCGCTCAGAGATCTGGGCAGCCAGTGTGTAGTTCTGGTTCTGTGCGTGGGCCTGGAGGGCCACCACCAGCATGAAGTACCTGGGACACACAGGGATCTCAGAGGCACCCAGAGTTCTGCCCTATCTGCCCCTGCCCCCCGGCCACACTTCCCTGGCCAGATGTACCATCTACATGGCTACCCCACTCTGTCATCTCGCCCCCAGGAAGTGGGTCCTAATACCCCATCCTACAGAGGAAGACTACGAGTTTCCACTAGGGGGCAGAAATTCCCCAGGGCCACAGCCAGGAAGCCCTAGAGCAGTTTCTTAATCCAGAAGCCAGGTTCCGCTCTTCCCATCCTTAAGTCAATTACGGCTCTGAACCTCAGTTCCCTCATCTGTAAAATGGGTCCATCTGTGGGACTCTGTGCCTGGCGTGCTACAAGGGGTGGTGTCTTCCCGCCCTTCCTCCTCGAAATGGAAGGGCTCCCGGGCCAGGGGTCCAGCCTGCTCACCTCTGGTCAGGGTTGGGCTTGCCCTTTTTGCGCATGTTGTTGGCAGTGGTCTCACTGAAGTGCAGCCGCCCCACAGTCACCTTCGTGACCTGCTCAGGGGGCAGATTGACCCTGCGGAGAAAGGGCAGGGTGCTCAGGGGCCAGTGGGGGAGGCTGCCAAGGATCAGGTTGCAGAGGGACACCCAGGCCAGGGGTGTGTGGAAAGGGGACACTATGGGTGCCTGCCTGGCCCCCTCAGTTCCCAAGTCAGTTCCACTCCCCCATGGGGTCAGACAACTCACGTGACAGGGTTGAAGGGCCGCTTGCTTCGGTCTGACTGCGACTGCTCGATGTTAATGGACTGGTTCAGGGCCTCCAGCTGGGGAGGAATGGAGCCCAGTGGCACCTCAGTGCCGGGCTCCCCACCTGGTCCTGCCCTCCTTCCCCCTCAGCCAGTCCTGGCCCAGCTAGAGCTCGTGAGGAAACAGCAGCACCCTGTGCTCAGCCTCACTTCCACACGAACTCAGGTGCCTTCTCCTACACAGCCGCACCCCCACCCACCCCCACACGCTCC